ACTGAGCCGCCCGTGGAAGCCGTCAAGGGAAATGGCAGCAGGGGGCGCAAGAAGTCTGTCCTCAGTGGCCTGCAGGGACAGGGGGGAGAAGAAGGGGTGGCGGTGGCGGCCATCATACCACCTGACCCTCAGGGAGGCAGTTGTGCGGCCTCAGAAGCCGGGGCTGTGGGCAGGCGAAGACAGTCTGATGGCCTCTCCCCTCGCTGAGCCCAGCTGGGGCCGGCGGAGGGCCCTCGCCCGGCCTCCTCCCCCGTCCCCAAGGCAAACCGGGGCTGGCCTCCCCCCCCCCCACCGCAGGGTCCGCCACCTCCCCACGGCGCAGGGCATTAGAAAAAGGTGGGGGGGCAACGACCCAAACCATCTCCTCGGGCACGCCACCGGCGGTGAGGCCCAACAGCACTCGCTGGCCCCATAGGGCTCCGAGGGGTCTCGGAAGCCGGGGGGGGGAGAGGGGCCGCCAGCATTTAGTGCAGCGGTGGCGGAGAGGCCAGACGCTGCTTGTCTCTCCCGGAGGCCTCTCAGGAGCCTGAGAAGCCAGGTGGGGGGGGCAGGCGAAGATGGGCCGGCGGTGGTCAGTGCACCACTGGCGGAGAGGCCCCACGGCGGCCACAACTCCCGCAGGTGGAGGCAGACAGGTGTGCCCCGTGCATGGCGGGATGAAGGCGGTGGCGGGCCAAGTCTGTCAGCCTGATTTTTCTCCGGCCGGCGGAGGCCCCAGTGGGCCAAGGCATCCAGTGCGCCACCGGCGGAGAGGCTGCACTCCACCCGGCCCTCCGGGAGGCCTCCGGGCGACCCTAGAAGGCGGGTTGCGTGCGAAGATGGGTTGACGCGGTGCCAGAAGAGGGGTGAGTGAAGGGGGGGTTCTTCAGCTCCCACCCGGCTGGCACGTGGCCGCAAGTCAGCGTCCTTGCAGTGGTGCACAGCGGTGGCGGGCGGGCGAGGGAGGGCCTGAGTAGGCAAAATGTGGGGCGGGGGCGGCTGGAGGTCTCTGCCAGGCCGCGGCCGCCTCAGCGAGGGCAGCAGCAGCAGGCTCAGGTAGAGGCCTTCCCTTCCCCCCCCCCGGCAAAGCGCCTATCCCGCCTGTCGTCCGGCCGCACGCCGCCCAGGCAGCGATCCGTGGTGGGGTGAGGACGACGGCGGCAGCTCCATCAGGCTGTGATCCCCGGCCAATGGAGCATCTGTCCTGTCCAGGCGCTCCAAGGAGAGTGAGGCCTCGTCCCTCCTCTCCCAGCCACCCTGCAGACAGTCCCGTCCTGTCCAAGGACCAGAGCAGAGTGTGCCGAATACACTAGCCAGGACTGACAGGGGCGGGACTCCACAAAGCAGTCAGCCAACCCAGCCGGCGTCTTCTGACTGGCAGTTCATGCAGCCAACCTATTTTGGCACACATCGAACGTTGAGAGACGAAAACACAATTATTATAAGGAGAGATGTGGTGCAAGTAGCAGGCACAGGCAACATTCACATCCATGACTGTGGTTTTCCTAAAATTCCTGTTGCAGCACATGAAAGCTGCCTTGTACTGAATGAGACCATTGAACCTTGGCAGTGGCTCTCTAGGGTCTTAGGTAGTAGCTCTTTGCATTGCATACTGCTTGATCCTTTTAACTAGAAATTCTGGGGGTTGAACCTGTGACCTTTTGCATGCCAAGGAGATGCTCTGAGCCACAGTCCTTCTCCTTTCCAAACTCATATTTTGGGGAAAGGTTTTATTTAAACTGGAATTGGAGCAATGTGACTATACTTGATCTACAAGGCGTTTTTTTGTTCAGCTGCAGTTTTAAGAATCTGAGGTTGCTCTTTGTCCTTTAAATTACATTTCTAGCCCTTAGGTCTGTGGAGATGAGATGACAGAACTGTATTAAAGATTCTGTATTTAAAAGGCTGGCTTTAGATGTCAGATTGTAAAGTCCACTTTATGAACATTGGGTTGAGTTAATAGTGTTATGCCTATAACCTCCTCTCTCAGCCTGTCTGACCATACTAATCCATGTTTTTATAACCTTGTGGTTGGATTATTGTAGCATGCACTACATGGGGCTGCCCTTGAAGAAAACCCAGAAAGTGCAACTGGTTCAGAATGTGGCCGCTTGATGGTCTTTGTCTAGCTGACAGGAGCACAACTTCCATACTTTAAAACATCTACATTGGCTGCTTTTCATTTCAGTTCAATTCAAGGTGCTTGTTATAGTCTTCAGTGGCAATGATTGTGTTCTAGCTTCCACCTTGTAATTCTCCCTCACCTCACTTATGGTTGCCCATCCGGTGTCTGCTAGACACTGGTTCTTTTCCATAGTGTTTCCCACTTTGTGGGACAGTTTTGCTGGGGAGGGTGCTATGCTTAAAAATTTATAAGAAATGTTGAGGATTCTGCTGGGGTTTGAGCTGTAGTCATTTTTTGTGCAGAGGAAGGTGGTAATGGGTTCTCCTTGATTATGGGTGGTTTTAAATTAGAATTATAAGCTGCCTTGAACTACCAGAGAAAAACAGGATATAAATATTTAATACACACTAAAATAAAAATGTAAGAAAATGTTTTGTTTATGCCATCAGGCTAAAAATTTTCCTACACTATTTTATTTCCTTTACATACTGTCCATTTTTCTTGCTGAGACTCGAGGTGGACTATTTTACAAGTTCCATTTAAAACTTCCAGTCAGGATTATTGTCTCTGAATTAAATACTCATATGACACAGGCTGGATGTGAAACTCCTCTGAAGAAACTGCACTTTAAATGGTGAACAGACAGTATAGGCTATACTTTCATGCTGTTGGCCACCATGTTCCATGGTTTCAGAGTAGGATACAGAATATGTGGGGCTTGGGCAAACATAGGTGAAAATATGAATAAATATATTTTATTTTAGCTATTTTGAACTTTTCTTCAGATGCTCTCCACTGTCATAATTAATATTATCAGAGCAATTGTAGGTTTGCATACATGTGTAGTTTTGCTGCCCTTAATCTTAACAGATAGTGGGTGAAGTTTGTTTGTTAAGAGCATTATAGTATTATATTCAGCACTGACATAATTGGCAGTGATCTAGTTCACAGGGCAGTGGGTATTATTGGGAAACCCTGAAGATAGATTTTTATATATAACAATATAGTACACTTGATTACTAAAATACAAATGAAAGTACCGTAATACAAATGTATAAAAAGTAAAATCTAAATATTTAAACAGGGTTTAGCCTGTCAAAATTATGAGGAACCAGTGAAAGTTGTACCTTTTAATATAGGTTGCAACTGGGCTGTAATTTATTTAATGCAACAGAACACTGATTTTAATAAGATGTGAACTAAAAATATTGTGTATTTCTGTAACAATTTGTTGATGTTTTTGTTGTTTATGTATTGTGTTTGATCTTGTAACCCACCTAAGGGCTTTCAGGAGAAAGGAGCTCAGAAGTGTATTATATGCAAATAAATATAAGCAGACCAGCAAAATTCATTGAGTCTTAAGTTTTTATTGTCCTGAATTGAGAACCTGGTTTAGTAAATATTTAAACTATACAACCAGTGGACAATACTGAACTTAGTGGCTCAGTTAGTTGCTGGCTGTCTTCAAGAATACATACATACAACTTGTTTCTTAGGCTCATAAAAAGACCTAGGCCTAGCCCAGTGGAATTATGAAAGGATAAAATTGAGAAGAGGAGAATTATGTAAATAGCTTTGGGTCCCCAGTGGGGAGAAAGTTGAGGTATAAATGAAGTAAGTAAACAAATAATTTCGAATTGGCACCCCTTGCCAGGTTGGAAACTGCTTTTTAAAATACAGTCATGGGTGTGAAGGAGTGGAGCTGCTGTTTAAGGAAAAAACAAATCTAAAGCCCCTTCAGGCTCATAGAACTAGTTTCCCGGTTGTTTTGATCTTAAGCCAAATCTTATATCTAGAGTGGAACATACATGTTTCCCACAAGTGACCAAATATCTGATTTGTTTCCTTGTTACAGATAAGTTGATAAGGGGGTGGATCCTATCTAGTATTAGTAGAGCTGAGCTAGATAAGGGATACTTTCCCACCTCCTGCTGTGCACCTGAAATCATCATGACCTTGGAGATCAGTGGACTCTGGGGATCAGCACTGGGGATGAAGGGGGGGGGGAATCACCAAAAATTTCCCTCCCCATATTACCTCCTACAAGTGGAAAAGGAATATGGAATACAAACTGTGGTCTTTACCATGATTATCAGCAAGCTGCAGTACCTGAAATCATCATGACCTTGGAGATCACTGGACTCCGGGGATCAGCACTGGAGATGGGGGGGGGGAATCATCAAACATTTCCCTCCCCCAAAGTACCTCCTACAAGTGGAAAAAGAATATGGAATACAAACTGTTGTCTTTATCATGATTATCAGCAAGCTGCAGTCTGTTCCATAGGAAAATATTTTTGTGCATTTTGAGTACTAGCCTTAAGTTCCTAAATGGTATTTTGATGGCATCTTGTAGCATTTAAATTTTCTGAAACTTTTATTTAATGCTTTCTATAGAGCAGCTAACCCGTATAGAAGAAGGCATGGACCAGATAAATAAAGACATGAGAGAAGCTGAGAAGAACTTGACAGAGCTCAACAAGTGTTGTGGCCTTTGTGTCTGCCCTTGGAATAGGTCAGTTAAAGACAGATGAGTTCCAAGATAGAGTCTCAAAGAAAACTAGCCCATTGGGAAACATTAAGAAATTCAAAGACTGGAAGGCTTTCACTGGGGTGCTTTAGTGTTGGGGAGGTTCTAAAACTTAAGTGGTACCAATTTCTTGAACCCGGGTAAGGAAAAAGAAATAAAATAATAATGCACTTTAGCTGGCCTTTTAAATTATTGGTATTGGTTTTTTGACAATTTATTGATCAGTACATATTTTTAAAATGTCACTTTAATTCTTGCATGTGGATCTTTTTTCTACTGGATGACCAGGAGCAAGAAAACTGACTTGCATGTGCTTTGAGAGTTTAAGGAAAGTGTGATATGCCCAATAAGTTTCTGATCTTCTTCCTTCTTTCGCTATCATATTCTTTCTCATTCTTATGAAGAATACTTACCTTGTGTTAGGGCTTTTCTGATGGCTCTGAATATGTTCATTCAAATTCATATGCTTGACAAAGATGCTTGGAATCAAGAAAATAGCAATGAAGGCAAGTGGAGGAAGAGGAGAAGAAACAGTAGAGATTTGGAGGGTGGAAAGACTATTGAAATTGCCTTTTCAGTGCCCAAAGCAACATCATGGTATAACTTTCTCTTAATAGTAAGATCTGGGATACCTTTAACACAAGTGGGGAATAAAGTATTTGTGAAGTGTTTCTCTTTTCTTCCTAAATCTGGTGTTATTTGAGCCTACATTCTTTGTAGTTTAAAGCATAATCCCAGCTATAGTTTTGAAATAACCTGTGTTTGCTAACAGCTGTTTATCTGTTTGCTGGTCTTGCTGTTCACTCTCTTGTTCATTCTCTCTCTCTCTCTCTCTCTCTCTCTCTCTCTCTTCCCTAACCATCCCACTTTTCCTTGCTTACTAAAATGAAGATTTAACACCAGAGGTTGGATTCGATTAACTGGGCAGAGTGGACTTTAGGAAAAAGTCAGTCTTATGAAGCAGCCTGTGCTGTTAATCAGCCATCTGAAGGTGATGTCCTAACTGGGTGCATGTTTGCATGAGCATGATTTCTTAACATGCAAGCAGTAGTGTCATGATTTGTAACTGTGTGTATCTGTGGTGTTGTATTAAACTATTTATTCCGACACGATTAATCTGAACAAACACTAACTACTAGGACACTACTAGTAGTTCATGTTTGGAGTTCTGAATCTTTTGGAAATAGTGGTTTAGATGCTGGAGAAATATTTAGATGCTGGAGAAATATTTTTGAAAAAGTGACACTAAAACTACAGTGAAGACTTATCAGTCAAACTTTGCTCATATTTGAAATCATAAATTCATTTGTATTTAGGTATTCATATATACATCATGTGGTATATATGTATTCATATATACATCATGTGGTGAATGTTTATTTCCCATACAGTTGTATGACATCACCAGTGGCAGTTGCATTGCATATGCACACACAGAATGTTGGCCATGTGATGTGAGAACTGAAAATCCTACTGAGACTTCATTTTGAATTCATGAATGTCACCACTAATGAGTACTCTTATGCAGTAGGGTACTTCCAAACCTAAATATCTTTTATTCTTCCTTGTATCATACAGTGTGGTTCAGGTTGCAGTTTACTTTAAGTTGAGTATAGCAGCCATTAGAAGTCATAATAAATATTGAGTTGTAAAATTGAGCTCAGATACTAAACAGAAATGACCTAAAATGTAAATACAGCATTTGAACATCATGAAAATGAAAGCATGTCCCTACTTTTGTGTAGAATCACCAGTGTGGTGTAGTGGTTAGACTGTTGGACTAGGATCTGGGAGATCCCTGTTTGAATCCCCTTTTTGCCATGGACATTTGCTGGGTGACATTGGGCCAGTTGCACACAGGTTAACCTACCTCACAGGGTTGTTGTGATGGTAGAATGGAGAAGAAAACGATGTAAGTCGTTCCAGGTCCCCATTGGGGAGAAATGTGGGGTATAAATTAAATAAAAATAAGTAATGCAAAATCATGCTGCTTAGGACTGCTTTGGACATTATTTAATAGACTGAATACAGCAAGTATTTGAAAACATGTGTTAGAGTTTTACTAGTCAGGGCAGAATCCAGGATTGGCAACAGTTCCCAAATTCTTTCTTAAACCTGAGTCAGTTAAAGATCAACTGTCATACTTTGGTATATTTGGTCTAATGTGTGATTTTGGTGGGGTTTTTTTCTTGTAGAACGAGGAACTTTGAGTCTAATAAGTCTTATAAGGCAACTTGGGGTAATAGTGTCGAAAATTCAGATCATGTGGTATCTAAACAACCAGCAGGTGCGGTAAATTCTCAGCAGCAGACATCAGGAGGACCATCTGGGGGTTACATTGCACGGTAAGATAAGTTTATTTCCTGCCCGCTTCTGAATAGAGGACTGAACACTTCATACTCTCCTGCAATGATGACTGCATTTGAAAAGCTTAAAGAGAAACTCATTCTATATAACCCATGAAAAAATAATCTGTGAAACTTATAAGTTTCCAATGTGTAAGGCAGTGCACTTAAAATCACTTCCTGATTTAGGTTTTCACACCAATACTTCAGAGAGAATACAATTTTTGGAAACAATGTCTGTACCATTATGGTATCTATAATATCTATTTCTCAATTGTGACCCCCCCCCCCAATCTGCACATATTGAAATCTGCTAATCAGGGCCACACTTACCCAAAATAGATAGTTTGGAAAACTTGGGGTTTTCCCCAGGTTTTCAGAAAAATCTGAAAACTTTTAAGAAATACAAGGGGGGGGGGTTAAATCCCCCCAAGAAAACACATGTGTTGTCTGTGCATGTGCAGATAATGAACCTACCTCCTCCTCCTGCTGTTCTAGCTTAGTGTTGACAGCTGCCACAGTGGGCCAGGCAATGGAGCCTAGGAGCCACACTGGGCTTTCCAGGCGAGGGAGCAGGTTGGGAGATGCAGCGGGCCAGGCAGCAGAGGCTGAAAGCTGCATTGGGCTCAGTGGAAGCAGAGTCGCTTTGGGGAACCGGAGCTGTGCCAGGCTTGCAACCAATAAGGCAGTGGGAGGATTAGGAGATGCGGCGGGCCCAATGGCGCTGTAAGGGATGTGGGGAGCAGGAGATGTGCTGGGCCTGGTGGTGGAAATGAAGTCACTTTGGATTCACTGGGGGCAAATGTTGTGGGAGAGAGCCAAAGCTCTGCTGGGCTCACCGGTAGTGGAGGCTATGGGGGGGGGGAGTGGTGGCTAAGAAGGAGAAAGGATCCCCCCAACTGTATATCACGGGTTCCCACTTGTATGTTTCATATAGAAGAAAAGAGCACTGATTTATCAACATAAGTTTCCTCTGATAAGTTTCCTCTGGTGTTTTCAACAGGGTAACAAATGATGCCAGAGAGGATGAGATGGACGAAAACCTAACTCAAGTGGGAAACATCCTGGGGAATCTGAAACATATGGCTTTGGATATGGGCAATGAAATAGATACACAAAACAAACAGATAGACCGGATAAATGAGAAGGTAAGAACCAAAGAACTTTGCCTTTACTGCCTGCCTGGGTGGACATAGTCCTAAAGTGGCCAGTATAACAAGTCCACAGGACAAGAAGGCTGTTTTATAGCCAGGAATTCTGGTTTAGTATCAAGTTCACCCCTTGTGGGCATGGGTCTTAGAACTGGATCCATTCATTTATCAAAAAATAACTTGCGTTTTGGAGGTGAAGGGATATAAGCACACAAATAAAATAGTGCTGTGTTACCATAGTGGGTTAAGAGCACAAGCTTGGAGTTGGAAAGCTGCTTGATTCCAATCTCTACATACCTATGAATCCCATTGGCCATGGGCTTCAGCTCCCTATCCCTGTTCCCACTAATAAGTAGGTGATAATACTGGCCTGCTTTATACACTTCAGGATTTCAGGAGAAGTGAGCTCTAACTTGCTAAAGCACATCGTGGAACTAATTTCGTTAGTCTTCAAGGTGCTGCTGGACTGCTGTGTAATTTTGCTGCAACAGATATTCCTCTGAGGTTATGCATACATGTAGTTCTAGAAGGGTGCTAACATACACACTAATCATATAGTTCCTGGCCACTCAGCATTTAACTGAATTGTGTCTTGTGCTTCTAGAAAGCACAAGCTTTGGGTTTTGTTGGACTTCCTAGAGAAAGTTTTCACCGAAACTGTGGAGTCCTTGCTCTCCATAAGACAGAGAAGACGACTTTAAAATATTAGGTCAAAGACATTTAGGTCTTTGTATGTCAAAACAGTTTTGCTCTGCAGAAACACAGTTGAGATCTTGAAGTACTGGTGTAATATGCAATCAGGGATGGTTGCAAGATTATTCTGGGTCCCAACAATCTCCTCCAATACTTGCATTTGTTTAGTATGCCTGGTTAGTGGCATTTGTTCTATATCCTGAATTAACACCTGTTTTGGACCAGCTCCTGAAGGAAGTGACCCGAATAGTTTTAATTTCCATCTTCTTGTTTACTTAAAAGTCTTAACATTGTATTTTCTGTTCCAGGCTGAAACCAACAAAGACCGTATTGACCAAGCCAATGTGAAAGCCAAAAAACTAATTGAGAACTAAAAGCCTGATGCCAATTCTTTATCCAGCTGAAATGCCTATTTCAGTGTACAAAACTTCCACAATTTCCAAAGAAGAGGGGTCGCAGAATTCCAAAGCAGAAATGGAGCAGGAATTGCATCATAAACCCTTCTTGGTTTCATGAATACAGACTTGGGATGAAAATCTGGGAAAGCAGCACAATAGAAATTTGTCTTTCTTGGCCTTTTTGTATATTCTCAGGGCTTCATATTCTGGTTGAGTCTTTCCATGGTCTCTTCTCCTTTCATTACTTCTGTTTCCCCCCTTCACAGTTGAATGGTGACAACTGAGCAAAAAGCTGAAAAAAATGTACTTCACGGGATTTAATTACCTCGCTTAATGCTGCATATCATAGCTAAAATGGTGAACTGGTGACTTTCATGAACCGTGTCTTAAATTAATCAAGCTGCCCATAGTTTTAGAAGTTCTTTACTTCTTTATCATGCCTTACATGATAGGAGGGATGGAGGAAACTTGTACTAGTTGGAACATGTGGTTTAGTGGCTGCTATTTTGGCGAATGGGGTTGTAAAATCAAGATTGTAGACATGAAAGATGTAAAATGGAGAGAACTGCAATGCCACCAGTGAATTTCTTAGCCATAGTAAGTCTCCCTTGGATGCTGAGGAGACAAATGATCAAATTACACTATATTTTTGGTCAAGCATGTATAATTTGTAAATACAACATATTCAGATCATTAGGGTTGTATTCCCAGTTTCCACACTGGGTGATGGTGTTTAGTAGTATGCACCAATCCAAATCTCTTCCGCTTCTTCCAGAGAGGCTTTACAGTTACCTGAGGAATTCAGTGGGCAATACAGCACTTGAGTTTCTATCCCTCTGAGCACATCAATAAACACTTTTGGGTGATTGCAGGCAAAGCACTTCAGGGGAAAGGCCCTGACACAGTGTGCGACTCACTTGAAACACCCTTCATAATTAAAATTTTATGTTTCTATTTAAATTGAATCTTCTGGAAAACTCATCTTCATATAGGCATTTTTTGTATCTTTTGAAAAATCAAGGTTGGTAAAACTTCTTTCAAAGCGTAAAGCTGAATGAAAGCTGGTTTGTTTACTAAAGAATGTCCCTTCAGTTCACACCTTCTGTATCTAATGGAGTATATAAAACCTACTTCTGGAGAACACTGCCTTGGTATCTTATTAAAAATCATTTGCATAGTTTCTAGGAACACATCAGAAGCTGAGCACAGCCCGTGCTCTAATGGAGGTTAATTCTGCTCATTAATGAGTTAGCATCTACTGCTGCTTGGGGAGACACTGAGTTGTAAATTATTCTGGATACTCACCAAGTAATGGGTCTGTATATGTGAGTAAGATCGTCTTTAGGAAACTGGCATACTGTAGAATATAGCTGTCTCATACTTTCTGGCTGGAACCATTTGTTTGAGCCTTGCCTGTATTGAAGTACACGTGTCTAAAGTCAGTGCTGAAAGTCAGCTGAGACTGAATCTATTAATGTGTATCATACATTCTGGCTCAGTGTAACTCAGGCCTGTGCAGGCTGTTTCCTACCAAGCTTGAACGTAATCTGTCAACTTCGTGTGGCTTGCTCGGCACTCAACCATTTTTTGCAATCTCAGGCAGGTAGCAAGAAGATGGCCATACATGGCTCATGGTAGACTATGCTGAGTTTCGGTTACAATTACATAGGTCTGCTGTAGTAAATGGTTGGCACATGGATCATTTTAGGATTAAGGTGCTGATCTAGCAATCTAATTGTATACGAGAGTGATTATTTAGTGCAAGAATTTGTTTAATTTTTAAAGAGCTTTAAATTTTCAGGCTTGTCTTACAAAGTTTTAATTCACCCTTGTAATAAGGAATTTAATAAACAGTACCTCCTGTCCGTCCCCCACACACACGCACACGGAGAGAAGAAATTGGCTTTGTGCTTTCTGGCTACACTGAACAAAATACTGTGCAAGAAAACCATGAACTGATCATACTAGTTTGAATCCACTGGAGAATTTCCACACCAATGGGGATGGGTTGCCAATTCCTGCCTCCCACAGCAGGCTTTCAGCTTCCGTCATGCTGTTCCTGAGGATCTCCCGTCCCCCAGAAACCACATTTCAGAGGGTATCAGGCTGCACACAGTGAAGGGACAAGTCACAGTCCACATACGGGAAAAGTCTGCCAGGAAGGCATTTAAAACAGTTTGGCTTGCTGCACTCTAATTTTTCTTTAATTGACGAAGGACTATCCTATTTGTTTGCCCTCCTGCAAAAGAAGTTCAATTGAGCCATAATGTCTCTGCAGGGACAAAGCTGGGTCTTGGGTGTCAACTGTCAAGGGAATGAAGGCCTGCTCATCTGTGTAGGTAGCAGCTTCATACCTCACTCTTTAATTTTAGTGTTTACCATATTGCGTTTCGTTATTTCTAATTTTCCTCATATCGGAAATGTTTTTAAAGATAACTGCTGGGAATGGAAAAATAAACAAATCTACAAATCTTGCTAGTCTATTCTAGAAACTCAAAGAGAACTCTCTTTTGACTTACTACTTTATGTGAGACTTGAGCTACAGCCACTTGTATTCTGAGTAAAATGTTGTTGTGTAACAGCAGAGCACATTTCCTCGTTGTGAATTCCTTGGAAGCCATGTGCAGTATGCATGTCAGTGTGACAGAGCACTTCAGTACAGGTAGTATAATTGTCTGCTTTTGTACGTAATTGATACAACTATATGGATTTTTGAAGAATGCAACTAAGCAAGCTGTACTATAAAACGGTTGGCCTTCCTGTGTTGCCTGGCTAAACTGTGATGCAGTAAAAATGCCTCAGGTTTTCTTAAACTTGTTAGTCTGAATAAGCATAATTTATGAATGTCTTATTCTTCTTTTTCAAAAGCATATAATGCAGATAATTTCATGTTATTACAATTACAGCTAGAATTGCTATTCCTGATGGTTTCTTAACTCTTATTCTATTAGTTATTCTGCAGTGAGGCAACCTAGACTTATTTCTACTGTGTGTGCCAGCTTTTTAACCCAAATAGTGAGCTTTATTATTTTGTTTGTTTATAGTCCACTTTTCTCACTGAGACTCAAGGTGCATCATACGTAAGTCATGGCAGTGTTTTGTTATTAAAAAGTGAATGGTAGGGGGAAGTTCATTACCTCACCATGGCACTGTTGGTGGAGTATAGGACACAGCAGGCATCTTCCACTATATTATTATTCACTTGCATTTTCTGTTGGTTTTTCAGCCCCTTTTGGTGTTGAATGATGGATGAAGGGACACCAAGTTATACATATGTTTCTGCTTATTGACTGTGCCTTATTTCTAAAATCCCCAAGGGTTTTTTGTGCAAGTGAAGATGTAAACACTGTTAACTTATGCCTTTGGCAGAATATTAACTTGTGATATCAGCTATCAGGTTCTTTACAGCTACCCAGTGAAACTTCTAAGAACAGCCTTGGACACAGCTTCTAACTATATATAACATATAAAAAGGTCTTCAACGCTCCCATCAATAACGAAAGTCCTACTGGTCTCTGTACTGATGAGAAAAGTTAATAATTGGTTCTTGGCCCTTAATATTGAGCCAAAGGAGAGATAGTATCTATATATCTAATAGCGAAGGCGACCCCTGCATGTGGATATCTAAATCTGCACTTGGGGGGGGGCAGGGAGATTTTCCTGCACACTTGGGGCAGTCGCCAGGTGTGCACAAAAATCTAAAAAGTTGAAAAAAATATAGGAGGGATATTTAAATCCCCCAAAAAGTAAAAGAGCATTTCCTATGCATGCGCAGGGAACGCTCTGGGAACTCTGTGGTGGGCCGGCGGCTGGAAGCCACTCAGTCCTCACCGCTGGAGCCAAGGCCGGGAGAGAGGAGGAGATCGGCCGCCGGAGGGGGAGGGAAGGAGATCGGCAGAGGGTGAAGGGGGGGAGAGAGAGAGATTGGCGGGGGAGGGTTTACCTGCTTCTGCTGCTCCCTCCTCCTGCTCGGCGTGGAGCTCTTCTCCCCCCCCCCCCCCCCGCAAGAAAGGGTCCCCTTTCTTGTATATCATGTTTTCCAAAGGAAATTGGCTAAATCCAACCAGAAGGCAGTATTGCTGTTTTTCCAGATGGGTCCCCTGCAAAACTGTTCCTGAAGGCAAAGAAGCCCTCAGTGGTAGCATGGGGGATTGCAGGAGTTATGTTCATCTCCCAGATCCTTGTAAAAGCTTTTGCTTTGTTCATATAGCAGGCCTGGACTTAACCCATAGAGTTTAACTTGCATAGTTCATACCTTTTAGTATGAAATTGTGTTCTATTTGAGCATAGGGCTTTATACTTCCCAACTTGTAAGTATAGAGAGAGAATAGATGCTTCCCAACTTGTAAGTATAGAGAGAGAATCCCAGATCCCACAAAAGGGAATGCTGTCAAGAACACAGAGCCCATCTTTTGACTTGCAACAAGGTGAAGGGACAGCCCTCTTGGCTAACGTGGTGCCACATTCGTGGCTGTGTGGTGAGCTAAGGGGAAGGTTCCTCCTGGCTCCACCCAATAGGGTGCCCAGGCCTGGTGGCACGCAGGGTTTCCAGGCTTACGTAGAAATCAGAGTTTTCATTCTAGTCTGCTCCTCCTGCATTTAATAAGCTGCTGCCAGGGTCACTGTCATCAGGAGGCTCTGTTTTCACCATGAATGGAGCTGCAGCACAGATCCATTTTAGCGATGATCTTTGTCAGCAGCAGTGGCAAGTGAGGAATGGTGATAACACAGTTTTGTGGTGGTGAGGAAGTTGGCAGCAATGGTATGTTTGGCAGTGGTGTGTCCCAGCTGGTGGGTTGGCATTAGCAGCAGTACCAGTGACAATTCTGAGGCAGTGAGGTGTCCCCAACCCCTTTTCCAGGAACAGCCAGCCCATATGTGTCATTAGCCCTTCTCCCCCCAAACTAGAGAAGAAAAGTTGGTTTTGTACCCCACTCTTCACTACCCAAAAGAGACTTACATTCCCTCCCTCTCCCCACAACAGACACCCTGTGAGGTAGGTGAGGCTGAGAGAGGTCTGAGAGAACTAACTGAGCCAAGGACACTCAGCTGGCTTCATGTGGAGGAGTGGGGAATCAAACCTAGTTCTACAGATTTGAGTCAGCCAGTCTTAACCACTACACCAAACTGAAGATTGCCCCCCCCCCAGCTTAAAACTCTCGAGGAGACAGTGATCAGACTTGTTTTGGGAAAAAGCCCTAAGAAGAGATTGGATTTATACCTGGCCCTTTGCTCAGAGTCTCAAAGTGGCTTACAAACTCCTTTCCCCTCCCTACAACAGACAGCCTGTGAGGTAGGTGAGGCTGAGAGAGCTCTTTTGAGAACTGCTCTTTCAAGAACAGCTCTGACAGAACTATGGTTTACCCAAGGTCATCCAGCAACTGCAAGTGGAGAAGTGGGGAATCAAACCCAGTTGTCCCAAATTAGAGTCCGCCCATTTAACCACTATACCAAACTGGCTCTGAGGAAGGTGCTTCTCAGCTTCTCCGCTCCAGAGGAAGAGACCGATCTTCTGGACCCATTTTGATTTGGATTCAGGTTGGGATTTGGAACAGAGTCTGCTTGGCTAATTACCTTTACCAAGAATCAGGGGGGAACTGTGACCCTGGTAATTCTGCTGGCTTTCTCAGGGGCCTTCAGTACTGTTGTCCACACAGTATCCTACTGAGCCAAAGTTAGTATCCTTTTTACTGTCTGACTGACGTTCCCATATTACAAGTTTAGTTGCAAGGTACCTTTTGGCTGCCATAACAATCAGGAAGCAAATGTTTAGCTTCCCTATCTGATGCTTGATTGATTTTATAATTGAAATTCTCTGTAAATTTGCCATGTTGTATCTTTCTTCTTTTTTTATGCCAATAAAGGTATTTCGATTGGATCGGATCCTACTGAGCCACCTCTTGGCCCTGGGGACTGGGGTAGGGTTGCCAACCTCTGGGTAAAAAAAGTAGAGAGATCATAGGACAGGTTGTCAAATAAAATATAGACACTGAAAAAATGGTGAAAATTACAAATTAAACAATTGAATTTCTGTAATGCAATGAATAACTAAATTTCCATGTATCAACAGTTCCACAATCTTTTAGTGTCCCTTATAAATTGCTGCACTCAATTTGCCAGCAAATTTGGAAAACGCAACAGTGGCCACAGGATTGGAAAAGGTCAGTATACATTCCAATCCCAAAGAAGGGCAATGCCAAGGAATGCTCAAACTATCGCACAATTGCACTCATATCACACGCTAGCAAGGTCATGCTCAAGATCCTACAAGCTAGGCTTCAACAGTACGTGGATAGAGAACTACCAGAAGTACAAGCTGGGTTTCGAAGAGGTAGAGGAACGAGAGATCATATTGCCAACATTCGCTGGATTATGGAAAAAGCAAGAGAGTACCAGAAAAATATCTACTTCTGCTTCATTGACTATGCTAAAGCCTTTGACTGTGTGGATCACAACAAACTATGGCAGGTCCTTAAAGAGATGGGAGTACCAGACCACCTCACATGTCTCTTGAGAAACCTGTATAAGGGCCAAGAAGCGACAGTTAGAACCGGATACGGAACAACTGATTGGTTCAGCATAGGAAAAGGAGTACGACAAGGATGTATATTGTCACCTTGCTTATTTAATATATATGCAGAGTACATCATGCGAAATGCTGGCCTAGATGAATCACAAGCAGGAATTAAGATTGCGGGGAAAAAGATCAACAACCTCAGATATGCAGACGATACCACTCTAATGGCAGAAAGTAAAGAGGACCTAAAGAGCCTCTTGCTCAGAGTAAAAGAGGAGAGCGCAAAAGTGGGCTTGAAGCTCAACATCAAAAAAACTAAGATCATGGCATCCGGCCCCATCACTCCTTGGCAAATAGAAGGGGAAGTCGTGGAAGTAGTGACAGACTTCACGTTCCTGGGATCCCAGATCACCGCAGACTGTGACAGCAGCCATGAAATTAAAAGACGCCTGCTCCTTGGGAGGAAAGCGATGGCGAACCTAAACAGCATGATAAAAAGTAGAGACATCACCCTGCCAACAAAAGTCTGCATGATCAAAGCAATGGTATTCCCAGTAGTATGGTTGCGAGTAGTTGGACTATAAGGAAGGCCGAGCGCCGAAGAATAGATTCTTTTGAACTATGGTGCTGGAGAAGACTCTTGAGAGTCTCTTGGACTGCAAGAAGATAAAATCAGTCAATCCTCAAAGAAATCAACCCTGACTGTTCCCTGGAAGACCAGATAATGAAACTGAAGCTCAAATACTTTGGCCACCAAATGAGAAGGGAGCACTCACAGGAGAAGACCCTGATGCTGGGAAAGATTGAAGGTCAAAGAAGACGGGGATGGCAAAAGATGAGATGGTTAGACAGTGTCATCGATGCAACGAACATGAAGTTGAGCAAACTTCAGAGGACGGCGGAAGACCGGAAGGTCTGGCGTGATCTGGTCCATGGGGTCGCGAAGAGTCGGACTCGACTTTGCGACTGAACAACAACAACATAAACTGCTGATGCAGTCATATTCATTCATTTAACAGGTGAACTCCATATATTCCAACCATCAAATGTCCTTGTTGAAAACTGGAAGCTACGGAGGCTGTCAGCTGACTTGTCTTCCATTCTGTGCTTCCACAAAGCTCCCAAACACGACTCCCAATAGGCCATCTAATTTGTAATTTTTGTCATTTTTCACGGTGTGTATATTTTGTTGGACAACCAATCGGTAATGGATGGAGATCTCCTGGGATTATAACTGATTTACAGGTGAGAGAGCTCAGTTCTCCTGGAGGAAAT